CTTTGATTTCTTTCTCTTTCTCTTGTGTGTCTACTACAGGTTTCTCCTTTGTGATTACCATAAGCCTTATGTGAAACATCTTATAGTTATAACAGTCTATTTTAAGCTGTTAATAACTTAACTTCCAACACATACAAAAAATCTACACCTTTAATCTCCCCTATTTTATATTTTTGATGTTATAATTTATGTGGTTTTAAGATAGATTCTGGAATAACAACCAGAGGCACCTAAAATCTGAAGTTCATTTTTAAATATATTTTTGATGTTATTTGCAATGTGGTTTTAAGATAGATTCTGGAATAACAACCAGAGGCACCTAAAATCTGAAGTTCATTTTTAAAAATCCTTTGAGTTCCCAGTTAGATATTATGGGGTTGGATACCAAAGAAGGATCATACAAAAAGAAAAAACACAAAGATCATGCTAAAGAGATGTTGTAAGGCAACATGTGTGTAGGTGCTAGTTCAATGTAGAGAAAACAAAATGGGATAGTGACTGGAAGGGGGCACAGCAGAGATTCTGGGGTGTTGGTAACAATCTATTTCTTGATCTGGGGTAATAGGTATGTTTAATTTGAGAAAATTCAACAAGGAGTATTTTTATCTGTACCCTTTTCTGTATGCATTTATAATATAATAAAAAAAGTATACTAGAATAATGAAAAAATCTTGGGAGCTAATTCATTGCATTTGGTGCCAGCCACAGTTTCATGAGGGGGTGGTTCATGTGAATGAGGGTTGTTACCATGCTATTGTCCCCTTAACAACATACTAAATTGAGCTGTAATTCCTTGAAAGAGGTGAAAATATTTTACATAGCATTGAAATACAGCCAAAGAAATGCCCTGTGCGAAGATTCTGGGGCTGTAATGGCTAATAAGGAGAAAGGAATATGAGAGAAAAGAAAGGAGGATGAGCTGGAGGGGGATAGAAAGATGAGGGCAGGCCAGGTATGGTGGCTCACACCTATAATCCCAGCACATTGGGAGGCTGAGGCAGCAGGATAGCTTGAGGCTGGGATTTGGAGACCAACCTGAGCAACATAGCAAGGCCCACTCCTCCAACCCCAGTCTCTATGAAAAAAAAAAAGCTAGGTGTGGTGGCACACCTGGAGTCCCAGCTACTCAGCAGGCTGAGGCAGGAGGATCCCTTGAGCCTAGGAGTTTAAGGTTACAGTAATCTATGATCGATCACACCACTGCACTCTAGCCTTGGCAACAGAGAGAGACCCTGAAGAAAACAGAAGAAAAAAAGGAAGGAAGGAAGGAAGGAAGGAAGGAAAAAGAAAAAAAAGAAAAGAAGAGAAGGAAAGATGAGGGGAAAGAATGTGAGAGGATGATTGATACGAAGCCTTGTTCCCTGCCAGGATCAACTGAAAAAATTCTGAGTATCTATTCTTTCATGTTATCCCTGGAAGTAAGATAGTATGAAGTGACATTAACACTGCATGTATTTATAATGTTATACAATTGTAAAGTATTATTATTGATATGCACAGGATACTCTGAGACATTTATTCTGTGGCTGATTCTTATTGAAATTAGAGGTAATTACTACATTATCTATACTTCCGTGTCATTTTATTTATTCCTTAAGTATTACCACTCATCACACTGTATTAAAATTTCTTCATTGTCTATCTCCCTCACTTTACTGTCATCTTTTAGAGGACAAGGACATTGTTTTTTTCATCTCCAAATTACCATGGTATAGCATAAGCTTTTTGAGGAATTGTTCAATAAATATTTGTTGAATTAAATGATGGATTTTACAATGATCATGTCCATGGAATTCTCAATTATGGAACTATGCACATAAAATATGCTCCTATAAAATATAAATGCTTCATCTTAAAAATCCTTCAATTGCTTAATTCTAATTTATTGTTTCATTTGATCATCAAAATCAATTTCTTAATGTGAATTTATTACTTCACCTGAAGATCATAACAGCCCTGCATGGCACAGAAGGGCAGTCATCATTAAAATATCCATTTTATAGATGAAGAGGCTAAGCTTATAACATATAAAAACAACTTGCTAGAGGTCATGCAGGTAGTAGGTATTAGAGCCAGATCTAGAATCTAGATTTCTGATTTTTCACCCAGGTAATTCCCTGTAAAACACCTATATGACCTTTGGTAACAGAAGTCACTCTATAAATTATCCTGGGGAGTTTTAACTCCCAGGCTTGTTTCCCCTGGCTATCACTTGGTTTCTTGACCACATTCTTAGACAGCCCATTCTGTGACTATTCTCACCTTCGCCTTACCTATTCCCACTTCAGTCCCTAAGATAACAGAAGAAAGGCTACTTCTTGTTGCCATAATATTGCATCTATTTGTAAATTCTTTTCAACATTCCTTATTCCCTACATATCTACAGTTTTTGAATATCTCCTTTGAACCAGTTGAAACTGGTTCTTAACTGTTTACTAATTCCCTCAACAATTAACGAGTGTAATAGAATTTTGGACATGTGTTCATTTTATATTTGTAGAAGAATCATGATTTTATGTTTTCTGAAAATGATTCTTTAATAATGGACATTTTCTCAATAATGTATGAATAAAAGCAACTTCAGGGAATGATGTCATTTTTGCTGATCTGCAATTTACAGTCTAAGCAAAAATCGTGCTCTTTCTGCAAATGCTACTTCAAGACCTAACTGACAAGTTCAAAGACCTGTCTTTCTGTGCTCCGGTGGAGGAAACAAACAATTTTAGTCGGATGTGAAGGACGAGGTAGACACAGAGAAGTGTGCTGAAAAACTTCCAATTGTCACAGTCTGCCCAGGAGACTCAGTATAGAAAGAGTTGTCTCAATCCCTAGATATAAAAGAAAGACATGAAGAGTCTCCTCCTGCCCCCACCTCTCTCTTCCCCCATCTCTTCCCCTACTAAGGAGGTGAGATTTGGAGAGTCATAGTCCTAGCAGTTAGCAATTTTATAGTCTCTTCTGTTTGAACTACAGAAGGTGAGAAGAGACAGTTGAAAAAGAAGCAAAGTCTCACATGCCCTCAACACGTAAAAATAAACACTGCCCTGAATCCTGCAAGCCATCAGTCATTGTCATCATCATTATCCAAATTTATAATCACTTCTAAAACTTGTTAGAAGCCTTCTGTTTACAGCCTGGTGTGTAGAAAGATGGGCTTTGGAGCAGATAAGCCAGGGATCTGACAAAGCCATTGGCTTTGTCACATGATCTTTATTTATTTATTTATTTTATTTCAGAGACAGGGTCTCACTCCGCCTCGCAGGTGAAGTCTGAAGTGCAGTGGCGTGATCATAGCTCACTGCAGCCTTGAACTCCTCAGCTCAAACGATCCTCCCGCCTCAGTCTCCTGAATAGCTACGACTACAGGCGCGCGCCCCCATCCCCGACTTATTTTTTTGTAGAGACGGGGTGTCTTCTTGCCCAGGCTGGTCTCAAACTCTTGGCCTCAAGTCATCCACCCGCCTTGGCCTCCCAAAGTGCTGGGATTTCAGGCATGAGCCACTGCACCCGACCCACATAATCTTTAGAGCTTTGTCTTTTCATCTGCAAAAACGAGGCATGGCTATAGAGGGTATAAACTGAAATAAATTTGAGATAACATATACAAAAGCTCTGTGCAAACTAATAGCTCTATAAAGTTTCAGTTGCTTGATTTGTCTCTCAGTTTCCTTATCTCTAACGGAAATAGTGAGAAACTACCTCATAGGGTTCTTGTGAACTCCAAATGAGTTAATAAATGTAAGCACAGTTCCTAAGTACAGTGCCTAACAAATGTTAGCTACTGATACTATTAATGTGTGTTCCACGAGGGGGCATGTCGGATTTTAAACCTTTCCCTCTCCCAAAGAGCCTAATACCCAGCAGACTCTCACTACGTTATTGCGGGATGACTTACGAGTGGAAGAATCGTCTGACCGCAGCGCGAGCCGCAGGGGGCGACGGAGCGCAGAACTGCCATAGGCCGGAACCCAAAGTTCGGGACGCTGCTGCGCCGGAGCCTCTTGGCGTCTGCAAACCGGCGCCGGAAGTGGCGAGGGCGGGGACCGGGTGAAATCGCCGGCTAGCGAAGATGCTGCTGGACTTGTCTGAGGAACACAGGGAGCATCTAGCCTTCCTGCCGCAAGTGGACAGCGCAGGTCAGGGAGCGCGGGACGGTGTTCTGTGGGCTGGGGAGGGGGCCAAAGAGAGTCCCCGACGCTCACACCTTCTGACTTTCGTTATAGTGGTCGCCGAGTTTGGGCGGATTGCAGTGGAGTTCCTGAGGCGAGGTTCGAACCCCAAGATCTACGAAGGCGCCGCCAGTAAGAAGGGGAGAGGCGCGGCTTCGCGGACTGCTAGGGGAAGTGCGAGCTGTCCTCTGTCGCCCGGGAGAGGAAGGGGATTATTTCGACTCCTAGGGTCTCGTTCCCACTGTAGTAGAATAAAACTAGCAGAGCTCTTCATCAGCGGGCAAATCCTGCCCGTCTTCTTAGTAGCTGTGAGATTTTTAAAGCTTCTGTCAAGTCAGTTTTCTCATGTGTAAAATGGACATAATGTCACTTGCCTTTCAGAAATACTGAGAAATGTTAAATATACCAAAGTCTGTGGAATAGCTGAGTCAGCTGTAAACATCATGCACGTGCTTGGTTATCATTAGTTATTCAGACATCTGCTTTTGCTGAAGCGGTGTTGTTTTCCCTCTGGAGGAGAGGCGGTCTCTGCGTTTAAGCCTATCCCTGTCGAGTTCCTGCTCTGCCAGACTTGAAGGAGCTCCGTATTCAAGAGAAGGTCTGCGCTTTATTAAAAAGGCTGCATGGCAGGAAATACTGAAAGCACCTGGCTGTTAGTGGAATGAGAAGGAACAGGAGGCTGTGGCGAACTTATTTTTAATTGTACTGTTTGAAAACATGAAATAGTGGATGTTTATTTTTAAATAAGAGTTGGAATGAAAGGATAAATATCAAAACAGTAATTTATTTGTTCATCTTTGCTTTTCTTTTTCAGGAAAACTAAATGTGAGTAGTGACACTGTCCAGCATGGTGTGGAAGGATTAACATATCTCCTCACTGAGAGCTCAAAGCTCATGGTAAGGTCTTCTGGGGACTGTTTTGTATTTCCTGGATTCTTAGGAAAGGTCCAGTGTCCTCTACGTCATAGTCCTGGCAGGTACCTGTGTATTTTAATAATGTTGTTAATGGTTTATAATTGATTTTGTGAAGACGTACCTAAACAATATGACTATAATATCATCTGCTGGCATGAATACCTCTTGCTAGTATAGCTAGTATAGTATTGCCTCTAATTCTACATGTTGTTAAAACATATGCCATAGTATGTATCCTAAAAGGAAAGAGAGTGAAATAATTTCTTTGCATATCAGCAGTATCTGGCTTGATGAAGAATAGAAAGGGAAAGTGGACATCTTAATTCTTTCTTTTTTGTACTTTAATAAAGTATTTTTATGTATTAGTAACTCAGACTATGGAATAGTGGGCAATGGTTGTCTTTAACTGTAAGGAATGTTGTTTCTTTTACTAGACAGAAATGAATTTGAGGATATCATATTTGAATGTTTGTGTATATCAAGTATATTAGCGTTTACTAGACAAAGATAAATTTTGATGTTCCTTTAAACTCAATTCACTTATAGATTTCTGAACTGGATTTCCAAGACTCTGTTTTTGTTCTGGGATTCTCTGAAGAATTGAACAAATTATTGCTTCAGCTTTATCTGGACAATAGAAAGGAGATCAGAACTATTCTAAGTGAACTGGCACCAGACCTTCCCAGTTACCACAGCCTTGAATGGCGACTAGATGTACAGGTATGGCTTTTTCTTTTTAACCTGACATAAAGTAGAAGGATTATTTTAGGTTTATGTCCTACTTATTGTATTCTTTACCACCTTAATCAAGCTCTGGCTTGAAACTGAGGTCTTATAATGTTCATTTTCAGACCATTTCACAAATAGTTCATTTTCTTTTATTTTTAATATGTTCAAATCAGTGTAGTTTGCAAAGTTTGTAAGAAATTGGTTATTTTGGAAAGGAAGATGGTTATGTAGATTTTAAAGGTGATGCTTGATTTGAAAAAAACTCTTCTCTTTAAATATAACAGACATAGAAAGGTGCATAGGTAAATGTACAGCTCAATAAATTATCACACAGTAAAAACTCCTAAGAAACTGACATTCAACCATGACCCACATCCAAGAAGCATCCTCCTTGCCTCCTACCAAATACTGCCCCTTCCTTCTTTTCCAAAGGTATCCAACATCCTGACTTCAAACACATAGATTCCTTTTGTCTGCTTTTTAACTTTCTATCTATGGAATGATTCAGTAAATATTCTTTCATGTCTGGCTTCTTTTGCACAATATTATTTTTGTGAGAGTCTTCTTTCAGTTATTTTTAGAGCCACATAAATAAAAGAAAGTTTTCAGACCATTACATGTAGCCCTTTATTAAGCAGTGAGAGATGCTTTAGTAGATATGTATTGAATGCCATTCATTCACTGTTTAGAGCTATGCTAAATGCTTTGGGACACAGAAGAAGTGTAAGATACTTTTCTCAGCTGGAAAAGATGTTATCATCTACTTAGGAATATTAGGTGTTCTCAAAATAACTAATAATTAAAGACAGTTATAAGCTCCTAGAGGGGGAAAAATATAATTGTGTAAATGAAGATGCCGAGGGTTTCAAAAATGTACACGTCATCGTGTGTATTCTGGCGTGATCCAGAAGCAAAAGGAGGTAAAATTTCAAAAGGATGAATGAATAGAGAAAACCAGGGTCAATATACTTGGCAAGGGAGGCAATGTAAGTTGTAAAGGCCCACATAGATATGGATATGAGCATATAAATATGTGACACAGTGCATTAGTTCTCAAACTTGACTAAATATTAGAATGACCTGGGGAGTTTTGTGAAAATTCTGTTGTCTGTATTCAGTGTCCAGAGACTTAATTGGTATAGAGTTCGTCCTGAGCATCAGGATTTTTAAAAGCTCCCCTTTTACCACAAAATTCAATAAATAAATAATAGGGCAATAAAGTTTGTGAACCACTGTTATGGTGGATTCTTCCTGATTTGAATGGAGATAAGGTGGTCAGAATAGATTGTAGAAATTCACTTAGGGGAGTGTAGACCTAACATAGCAGAAAATAAGAAGCCCTTATAGATTTTTGGATAAGAGAGTATATTAACATTAAAGCAATCATTCAGGAAAGTTAATCTAGCATCTCTGGGCAGACCGGAATGAAACTGGGAATTTGAAGTTTGAAGAAATTCAGTCCTTTACCATTGTTTTCCTCTATATGAAATGCTTTTTCTGTCTTTCCATTACCTCTTGATTCTTCTGTTTCTTACCCTTTTATCCTTTTAAGTTTCAGTTTAAATCAGGGCTCAGCAAACTATGGCCTATGGGCCAAATCTGACTTGCTACTTGTTTCTGTAAATAAAGTTTTACTGGGACACAGCCGTGCGTGCTCCTTTGTTTACATATTATCTATGGCTGCTTGCAAAGTACAGGAACAGAGTTGAGTCATTGTGCCAAAAACTATGTGGTCTGCAAAGCCTAAAATATTTACCTGGCTCTTTACAGCTCTCTGCTGACCTCTTCATAAAATGATGCCTCCCTCCAGGAGAAATGCCCTGTTAAATCCTGATGGCATCTGTGTTTCCCTTTACAAGGCACCTGTGCTTCCTCTTTTGACAAGTCATCTCACTCATAGAAAGCTGTTTTCCATGGAAAACTGTAACTCTGGGATAGCAGGGACCATGCATGTCTTATACTCTTTCTTCAAAGCCTCAACATCTCCTCCATGCTCCACGCTCTTAGCTGTTGACTTTGCTTCCTGTTTGACTAAGAAAAAAGAAACAATCAGAAGAAAACTCCTGAATGCACCTATCACATCTGCCAGTCTTCTGTATCAGTACCCACTTGCTCTGTCTTCTCTCCTGTTCCTCTTGATGAAATGTCTGTGTTCTTATCTATAGGCAACCTCTTCCCTTGTACATTTCTGTCCATCCTCATTTCATCACATGAGAACATAGTTCCGGCAATTGTTCCCTTTGTTTCCTGCATCATACTTTTTTTTTTTTTTTTTTTTGCCTCTACTGAATCATTTTCCTTAACAGAACAGTGGAGTCACAAATCCAGTCTTAACTCCACATACTCCTCCTACTGCCACTCCATTTTTTTGCTTCCCTTTATACCAGAGGTCCTTGAAAAAGTTTTCTCTCTGTGTTCTCTCTCCCCATTCTCTTTCAAATTCGCTCTAATCAGCCATCTTCTCCACCACTCTACTATCATAACTTAATCAAGGTCATCACTTTTTAGTCTTTATGCCATTCTGTTTGTTAACAACATTTGTGACAGTTAATCACTCCTTCCTACTTGAAATACTTTCTTCAGTTGCCTTCTGGGAAATAACTTCCTCTGGTTCTCATCCAAACTCACAGATCCCTCCTCAGTCTCCTTTGCTGATTCTGTCTCATCTTATCACACCCTTTAAACATTAGGATGCCCCAAAGGTCAGTTCTCGATCTTTACACTTTTTCCACTTATATTCCAGGCTGATTTCATCTAATTTGATGGCTTTAAATACTCTCCATGTACTCAGGATTCCCAAATTTATATCTTTAGCCTAGATCTGTCTGTCTCCCAAACTCCAGAGTCAATACAGTTGAAGCCTATTTGATATCTCCAATTTGGTGTTTGATAAGCATTCAAATGCAGTATGTCCAAAACTGAATCCCACCTTTCTCACCCTTTTCTCTCCAAATTGCTTATTCCATAGTCTCCCCCATCTCAATAGATGGTAAGTCTGCTCTTTGAATTACTCAAGCCAGAAATACTTGGAATCATCCTGTGTCCTCTCTTTACTTTTCATCTAGTCCATCTGCAAGTCCTACCTTAAAAATTCCACAATCTGACCACTTCCCTCCACTGTTAGAAAAAAAAAAAAAGATAAATTTCACACCAAAATTACAATTTTTAGCAGCTCTTGAACAATTAGAAGTTCAGGCAGCACGGGAGCTGCATTCTCACATGACATTAATGAGTTCAAGATGCATTGAATTTAAGGTAAAGACAGCTTATTTAAGTTGTAATCTCGGTAGTAGTTGAGGATGTCAGCCTAGAACTTGGGTTCAAGATTAGTTCAAACAGCAGGTGTGGTGGCTCATGGCTATAATCCTAGCACTGTGGGAGGCTGGGGCGGGAGGATTGCTTGAGCTGCAGACCAGCTTGAGCAAGAGCGTGACCTCATTTCTACTAAAAATATAAAAATTAACCGGGCACGGTGGCGCATGCCTGTAGTCACTCGGGAGGCTGAGGCAAGAGGATCACTTGAGCCCAGGATTTGGAGGTTGCAGTGAACTACAATGACTCCACTGCACTCTACCCAGGGTGACAAAGGAAGACTCTGTCTCAACAACAACAACAACAACAACAACAACAACAAAAGGAAACAAGATTATTTCAAACCACAAATGAGAATAATTTCTCTGGCAGCTGAACTGAATCAACCTCATTGGTTACTCACAGTCAATAGAAACAAAAAGCAGTGATTAAGTAAGGGTGATTTGGAGAAAGAACAACCACTAGCACAATACAGTGTCACTGAAAGTAAGAGCAACATTTAAAAATGGAGGGATCATCATGGATGTCAGAGTTGAGAAAACCAAAGGCTTAGTTAGGATTTGGTCAGAAGAAAGATGCACCTGTTCAGTTTTACACTTGCAATAGGGTGGCTGGCTTAGACAGTATTCTATTGTCATGAGCATCTTCAGGTACGTGCAGATAGCCTTAGAAAAGATAATTTCTAATGTCCCATTAATCCGTTCATGCTTCCACACATCTATTCAGTTGTCAAAGCATTTATTGAATGTCTGGTGTGTTCCAGGCTTTGTGCACATAGCAATGAAAGAAACAGTACTTGCCTTTAAGTACTTACAGTCTTATACGAGACCAAAAAATAAAATTAAATTAAAAATCAGCAATTAGGCTGGGCACAGTGGCTCACGCCTGCAATCCGAGCTCTCTGGGAGGCCGAGGCAGGCGGATTGTTTGAGCTCAGGAGTTCGAAACCAGCCTGAGCAAGAGCGAGACCCCGCCTCTACTAAAATAAGAAAGAAATTAATCGGACAACTAAAAATATATAGAAAAAATTAGCCGGGCATGGTGGCGCATGCCTGTAGTCCCAGCTACTCGGGAGGCTGAGGCAGGGGGATCGCTTGAGCCCAGGAGTTTGAGGTTGCTGTGAGCTAGGATGATGCCACGGCACTCTAGCCCGGGCAACACAGTGAGACTCTGTCTCAAAAAAAAAAAATCAGCAATTATAATCAAGTGTGATGAGTGCTTGAATAGGTACAAACACCAGATATAGTATAAACCAAACTAAAGGCTCCACGGGGCCAGGTATTGTGTCTTGTTTGTTACTGTGTCCCCAGTACAGTACCTGGCACATAATAGGCATTTAGTGCTAAATAGGAAAAGTGAAAGGTATGAGGGAGATGTCTTGGCTTCTTAAATTATTTATCAAATATTTCCTGTACATCCATTATGTGCTAGGTGTTATGCACACAGCAAAGAACAAAACACAGTTCTTTCTCTGAGGGACATCATAAGCAGCAAGTCATGTGGGGATTGTGGGGAGGTCACTGTGGGTTAAGCCTTTACATTAATATTTAGGTCCTTTCTTAATAATCAGGTAGAGATGTGGGGATGGTCTTGTTTATGTGGTTCAGCAGTAATTTATCTTGTAGATCTTTATCTTTTTCTTGTGTAGGAGTGTCCTCTAACTTTTGGGATCCAGTCGT